ACTCTGCTAACTTAGCAAACTCTGCTAACTTAGCGAACTCTGCTAACTTAGCGCTTTAGTCGCTATATTTAGCCACTTTTCAGACCCCTCTAGCACTTTGATTTCTAAAAAGCTCCTAGCGCCAAATCTAGAGACTTTTTTCTGCTACTGGAGACTTTGGAGACAACATCTAAAAGCAGCGAACTCTGCTAACTTAGCAAACTCTGCTAACTTAGCGAACTCTGCTAACTTAGCGCTTTAGTCGCTATATTTAGCCACTTTTCAGACCCCTCTAGCACTTTGATTTCTAAAAAGCTCCTAGCGCCAAATCTAGAGACTTTTTTCTGCTACTGGAGACTTTGGAGACAACATCTAAAAGCAGTGAACTCTGCCTGTCTTTGCCTAGGGCCCCAAATTTTCTTAATCAGCCCCTGTCAGGAAGCATTTGGTATTTACTGATATACTTCATTGTTTAATCAAAAAAGGTTTTTCTGGATTATTTTACATCCACTTTTGGATTTTTTTCCTCCAGTTTTCAGTGATAATATAGTAGAAAGGAAGAAGTTGTCTTTTCCTGTCAGCCAATCAAACGTCGGCTTTTCTATGGAAGGATTAGAATCGGTTAAAAGATTAAATGTATTTTAAAAATGACTGATTATTTAATGTCATGATTCAAAAGCTATAATTATTTACTAACTTTTGCATTTAAAAATTGTATGATTTGATTATTTAAAGATGTATTAGATAAAAAAAAGTGTACGTTTATTTAGTTCATTTATTTAGATTTACATATTTAATGCTGTATTTATTTGTTTCATTTTGTCCCCTAACCCTCCGTACCCCCCATGCTTGGTTATCTTCTCTTGATGTTTTTTATTTAATCCAGCTTTAAAGTAAAAAGAAGCAGAATTAAGATTCAGCACCATGGACAGAGCCACCAACCCCCCCGCTCTCCATGGTGGATTCCTCTGAGCTCTTAGCTGCTGTTAGATTCTCCTGGGAGAACGTCGGCCCTCTCAGAGCGCCTCTGTGATCTGAGAAGGAAATGATCTCAGTCTATTTCCTGTAAAGTTAGATCTGCTGATTGTAGAAATCTTCACAGATCCGTTCTGTTTCCTTCTTGATGGCCTCAGATCACGCCATCGTTTACGGGAACAGCCTGGATGTCTACATCACCGTAGAGACGCTCCTCAGTCTGGGCATCCCTGGACCCCGCATCCACCTCACCCTCCCCCCCTCAGCGCCAGGCGCCTCCTACTTCCCAGACGCCGCCGTGGAGAAGGCTGTGGAGGAGTCCATGAGGACGGCCCGGGTCCAGGTCCACCAGAACTGCATCCTGGCTCAGATAAACGACGGGGGGCCGCCCGACCCCATCACATCCGTATCCTTCACCACCGACTCAGAGCCTCTCCGTCTGCAGTGTGGAGTAAGTTCCCTCTTTTAGGTGAGGTGGACCCGCTCTTTCAGAACAAATCTCAACCTGAACAGAAGGGCTGAGCCGTCCAACTGGTAACGTTCATCACTGAGGAGTTCAGAACCGATTCAGAAATTCAGATCTGTTCTGTTATTGTTATAAAAAAGGTTATAATGATATGGTTATTTTTTAGGATTTTTTATTTAATTCACCTTGTTGTGTGTAAAGGCACACAACTAAAAACCTTCATCTGGTCCTTTATAGACCTTGAAACTTGGCCAATCATCACGAACTGAGGAATTCAGATTCCTCCATCTGAGGCCAACAGGCAGCTGTTTGTCACAATAATCTATGTTTTTAATTTTATCCAGATGGGATTATATTTAGGCAGCACTGACACATCTATTACTGCTGCGTCCATCTAAGCAAGTCTTCCACTCTTAGATTGAAACAAAGTCTTTTTGATCCTTTTTTGAAATTGAAATACTAATCAAGAACAGATTATTAGACTATTAATCTTTTGAGATTCTCCTCAGATTAAATGCAATAATCAGCCACTACAGTTTTAAGAATATCTATAATATTTAAAACATCTGTTTCCTGGATGTTTTTATCTGCTGAGTGAAGAACCTGTTTAGTTTGAAAGTGTTTTATGAATAAAGATGGTGGTACAGTTTGAGATCCACCGTCTGTTTCTACTGATTTCTGCTGGATCTTCTCCTCCCAGGTCTTCATCAACCTCTCCAATAAAAGGGTGGACCATGACAGCTACCAGAGCATCACTGGTTGCTTCCTGCCCTTTCTTGACCGACTGCTGATAACCAGCCGCTTCCTGACCTGCGACGCCTCAATCTACGCCGCCGGGCCCCTCACCAAGTTCGACTGTCGGCACCACTCAGACGAATGGACCCACTCCAGCTTCAGCTCCAAGGAGGTGGGCCGGGACCTGGCAGCCGTGCTGCTGTGCCTCCTGGATCCGACCCGGGCGGCGCCGCAGGAGCCCCCGTCCGAGGCAGATCTTCTGATCCCGCTTTACAAACAACCTAAGATCCAAGGTCCGTCCTCACTCTTAACTTGATGAACTCCTGCAGGGTTCTGATCCGATCTCAGGACCCAGAACAAGTCCAGGGTCTCTGACTGAGTTTTAGTGGATTATAAAAGCCTCCTTCCACCCACAGCCCTGTTGTTATGATGCAGGCTCAGTCCACCGCCGGCGGCTTTGTTCTGCAGAGTCACCAAGGCCGCTCCGCAGGTTCCAACAACAGAGCAGCCTCTCTGCGCTGTCCTTCTCACACGCATGACCTTTTCACAGCCACATCACCGCCTGTTATCTGAGTTTATTACCTCTGCCCGTCGGGCTGAGTGGGAGGACTATTGTCCGTCTCTGCAGCTTCAGATTCACGTTTCTCAGCAACAGAGGCTTCATTTCTGCACACATTCATTCCGTTAAATCCTAAACCATCTATTGGCTCTGATTAAACGCTTTCTCCTCTAAAGAGCAGAAAACAGAAGACATCTGTTCTTCATGGAGCTTTTCATGTCTTCTCTTTCTCAGGAGGGACTCTTCCTGGTGGACATCACTTCCTGCATGTGACCAAACCGTCTCCGAGCATCTGGACGGGTCCTCCTGTCCAACGTGTGAGTTCCTCGTTAAGCGCATGGTGACCCGGTTTGTTCTGTTTATCCCTGCCAGCGGAGAACCACCACCTATGACCAAACCTCAGTTTCCAAACGTTCCAACGCCTCCGATTCTCAATCAATCATTTAATCAATTAACTTTATTAGTACCTGTAGGCTGATTTGTTTATGGTGAGATTAGTCTGCTTTCTTTTCATATTCTTATTGTAGCAACAGTTTAAATAAGTAGAATAACAATAAAAGATAACAAACTTAAAATGTTCAGATTGCATCAGGAAAACTGTTTCCATCTGCTTCCATATTAGAGTTTGGGAATCTGAGGCAACATGAGCAAAGCTGGTTTCTAACACTTTGTGTTTTGGCGCCAGATATCTGTGGCGCAGCAGGAGAGGCCTGAGCTGCTCAGTGGATGAGCAGAGTTAGAACAGGAATCTATTCATCATTCTGCTTCATTCTATCTCTATAGCTCTGCTGCTATAGGCTTAGACTGCTGGAGGACATAGGGACCCCTTTTTCATCATTCT